CACCCCCAGGCTTAGCTGAGGGAGGCCTGACCGCTGCTCTGTGCGTCCCAGACACCCAGTGCCTGGAGAGTGGGTTCCTGACGGAGCCGGGAAACCCCAGGCAGGCTGGTGGAGTCCCAGTGGGTGCTTCTCCCACATCCAAGGTGTTGAACACAAGCAGTGCTTCTCTGCTGAGCGTTACACGTGGTTGCAGGCAACCTCAGTGGGGTCTGCGAGGTGCAAACGGGGGAGCCCTCGGCTGTGAGCAAAGGGTTTGGAGGTGCCATGCAGAGGCGACTTGGAAGAAAGAAAGGCCTGGTGGTTTGCTTCCAAAAGATCACAGCCACACATAAAGCACCCCAAAAACCCTATACCCTGTCCCCTGGTGGCGCCACAGCGCGGGATCGACCTACCCGGAGCCAAGGAGCCAAGGAACACGCATAGGATCGCCTGTCGCAGTGGGTTGTGGGGCTGGCGCAGGGCCGGGCAGGGCTGCACGGGGTCACCACCAGTCTGGCAAGGCCACAACAGGTCACAGAGAAGGTTGCTTATTCCCCACTCCAGTGTGTCCACAGAGGGAATGGGGGGGTTATCACAGGTACTTCCCCAGGGCAGAAGGACCAGCTCCTGATTGGTCAGGCTGCAAGGAGGAACTGGGCATGCTCAGTGCAAACGCCCTCTCGCTGCTGGGAGAAGTCTGGCCTCGGAAAACCAGGGTTCCTGGTCATTGTGGTTGTCGTTGTTAGGTTTCAACTCCCAGGGGCACTGTGTACAACAGAACGGGACTCCGCCCGGTCCTGCGCGTTCCTGGTCTTTATGCCTGAGCACATCGCTGCAACCGTGGCGTCCATCCATCTCATCGACGGTCTTCCCTTTCCACTGACCCCCTGTACCAAGCATGATGCCCCTCTCCAGGGACTGGTCCCCTCTGATAACATGTCCAAAGCATGTTGGGGGAAATCTAGCCATCCTTGCCTCTCAGGAGCGCTCTGGCCCAACTTCTTCCACGACGGCTTTGTGTGTCCTTTGACTGTCCAGCCCATGGTACTGTTGATGTCCTTCTCCAGCACCTCAGTTCAAATGCATTATGCGTCTTGCGTCTTCCTGGTTCCGTGTGCAGTGTTCACCTATGAGGCGCATATATTTCCAGGACGGCGCAGGGCTGTGCAGTGGGGTCAACTCGACGGCATTTAACAATACCAGCCTCTACTACACGTGAGACACCAAACTAGTGGGACCCTGGAAATACTGTCCAAAGCGACCCATGGCTTTCGGAAAAGACCGATACGGGGGGCAGAGTGGCCCAGTCAGGAAGGCAGTGGCGACACTGCGGGGCTTGCAGTCAGGGATCATGAAGCCAAATGCATGTAGGTTGCAGATCGGCCCCAAGTCACAGCAAAGAAAGGCGATCGAAAAGCCAATTCTACAGATACTTTATTCAGCCACCAGAGGGCGGTGCCGGTTAGTATTGGCCGGACAGATATTGATAAGCCAAGCAAAACAAAATCCCAAACACAAAAGCAAACCAAAAGAAAAGCCAAAGTCATCAACACTCCTCCCGGCCCCCTGCCCCAAATGTCATTGAGCCTGACTCAGCGACCCTACAGACAGGGCAGAACTCCCCCTGTGGGCTTCTGAGACGGTGACTCTTTACAGGGGTAGAAAGCCTCATTTTCCCCTGCAGAGCGGCTGCAGGTTTTGAACTGCTGACTTGCCAGTTAGCAGTCCCAGGCATGACCACTAGGACACGGGACTCCTGGGCATGGTTAAGGACCTGTGTACATGGTATGATTCACCCTTTCTGCTGAGGAACCTGTCCAGCTCTGAATAAGGCAGTCTGCTCAGTCACAAGGAATTCTCTGGCCACAGACGGTTGTCCACCCGAGAGTCCCCAGAGCCATGGGGATAACCCTCCCCTGGGAATCCGGAAGTACAGATTAAGTTGCAGGGGGGTGGACCTGCCTGGGATGCTGATGCTCCCATTTAGACGGTGCTTCTCAACCAGGGAAATGTCTAGATTTTCTCACCTCTCTCCCGGGTGAGGGGTCAGGGTGCCCATCTGGGCTTATTACCCTCCAAGATGAGAGGGGCTTATTACCCTCCAAGATGAAGTCCAGAGGCTGGACAAGGCCTCTTTCCAAGGCCGCCAAGGCCCCCCTCCCCTCACCC